TATTGTTACAAATATCCAAAATACTAAGCTAGAGACTGGTGTGGTTATGTCTGATATATCTGACCATTTCCCAGTTGTCATGTTCTTTAGCTATAAACGTAAACCTGCACCATGTAACTATAAGAAAACCAGTAAAGTGCTGAATGAAAGAACCTTGTCACACCTATGTCTAAGCCTAGAGACTAAAACTTGGACCAGTGTTTTTAATGCATGTGATCCCGATGCTGCTTACAATAATCTGATTTATGAATTATCAGAAACTATTAACAAAACTATTCCAGAAAGGACTGTTAACAGTAGTAAAAATGAGCAAAACCTTGGCTTACCAAAAGGGATACTGAACTCTATAAAACATAAAAATAAACTGTACAAGAGATCCTTAAAAAAACCCTAACGATCATAACAAGATGAAGTATCACTTGTACAGAAATAAACTTACTTGTATAATAAGAAAGAACAAATGTAACTATTATGCTAACTTTATAAATTCAGCTCAGGGTGATGCTAAAAAGACTTGGTCAGTTAAAAATAAAGTCCTTAATATGGGCCAGAAATGTCAGGTGCTCCCGGAATCTCCAATTAGAGATTTCCATCAACTTGCTGACAGTTTTAATAATTACTTTGTATCTATTGGTCAAAACCTTGCTAACAAAATCAAGCATTCCCAGGGAGACTCTTACAAGAATTATCTTTCAGGCAATTACCTACATTCTTTTTTTATGAAACCTAATGATGAAAGTGAACTAAAAACAATTATTAAAAAACTAAAGAGCTCTTTTACAGCTGGAGCTGATGGGATTTGCAGTAAAATCCTGCATGCAATTTCAAACTCAATTGTTAAACCTCTTGCACATGGCATCAACCTATCTTTAATCCATGGCGTAGTGCCTAAAATAGCAAAAATTATTCCAATTTACAAATCTGGAAATAAAAATGATATTAATAATTATCGCCCTATTTCTGTTCTTCCAACTTTATCTAAGATACTCGAAAGAGTTGTACATAGTAGATTAACTGAATACCTTGATAAACAACGGATTCTCTCAAATTCACAGTATGGTTTCAGGAAAAAGAGTTCTACCAGTTTGGCTACTTTGGACCTTATTGAAAAAATATGTGATACAATTGAACGAGGTGATTATGGCGTTGGCATTTTTCTGGACCTCTCTAAGGCTTTCGATACAGTTGATTTTGATATATTATTGGGTAAGCTGCACCATTATGGGATAAGAGGAACGGCATACAATTGGTTTAAAAGTTATCTTTTTGGTAGATAACAGTATGTAATTCTAAATCTTAAAAAATCCCAAATTAAAGACATCAAATATGGGGTCCCCCAGGGTTCAATCGTGGGACCATTACTTTTCATTATATATATTAATGACTTTGTAAATTCTTCCAAAATATTTCATAAGGTCATTTTTGCTGATGATGCCAACTTGGTTTTTTTCACATAAAAATTATTCAGAACTGGAGGATATTGTAAATGCAGAACTGGAAAAAATAATTATCTGGTTCAAGAGTAACAAGTTATCTCTTAATATCAGCAAAACAAATTTTATTCTCTTTAACCCCAATAAACCTAAATTGTTAATTGATCATGTAATTCTCAAAATCAAAAATGAGAAATTAATGAGAGTAAGTTCCACAAAATTCCTGGGGGTCCACATAGACGCGTCCTTAAATTTTAAATTGCATATCGAGTGTCTCCTAACAAAGTTGTCCTAATATGTTGGCTTGTTTTTTAAATTACGTTATTATTTGCCTCTATCCACACTCTTAACAATGTATAAAACTCTCAATGAGCCACACCTTACATACTGTAATGTTACATGGTGCAATACTTACCCTAGTTATCTTAAGAAACTTGAAAGCCTTCAAAAAAAGACAATAAGAGCCGTGTCATGGTCCGAGTAGAACGCCCCCACATCCCATCTATTCCATCGATTTGGTCTTCTTCGGCTAACAGAATTAAATATGTATCAAAATGCCTGTTAGATGTTTCAAATTGTAAATAAAACTAATAAAAGATTAACAGAGCTA